CTCTCTTTTACAAAATTCTTCTCTCTAAAAAGATAAAATTTATTCCCTCAACATCGATAAGCGGATATTGGCGCGATAGTTCGCGTCGGCACGAAATCTCATGCGAAGCTTCAAGACGCTTCCAGAGAGGCGAATATCCGATTTAATACAAATACATACCTATCTAAAGTTTTTAAATATTAAAAAAGATAAACGAACGTAGCATGCACAAATCAATCATGTTTCCACGATACGCTTCCTCCGACAGACGAATCCTTAATTAGTACCAATCATCAACTGCAATAAAATTTTATAATGTTCAAAAAAAATTAATTAATTAATTTTTTAAGTCATTTTAATATTCGAGCATAATAAAGAATTAAAATTTATATTGTATATAGTTTTTATCCCCAACTGGCGCATTTTTTCATATTATTACTTTTGTAGAAAAAAATTGGTTTAAGCAATAATAAGCAATAATGCTTTGTACAATTATTTTTGAAGAGATAAAACATTAAAGAATCAATTTCTTGCATAATAATTTTCTAGATACAATTAAGAAAAATCTTGATAAGCTTGCAATAGATTTGCAATTGAAGAAAAATTAAGATTCTTTATTAATAATTATTAAATTTTTTCTGATAAATTTATACAATTTTAAAAAGATTCAGCAAAAAATAGGTACCAATTAAGAAAATTACATACTATTACTTAATCATAAAATCAGTTTCTAAACGCTGCATTTTTTGCCGATCATACAAGTCTATCTAATAACAAATAATCAGACAAATAAATTAATATACATAAGCCCAAGTAACTCTCTGACATTGCGCAATCTTCATAAATGCATCGAGAATGCAAAGCATACTTATTCTTCGATTAGATTGCGATTGCCAGAAAAAAACAAATAAATATATGTAAATAATTCGTAAACACGGGAGAGACCCCGATATTTCTTCTCAAAAAAGAATAGCCAATTGTTGCTCGATATTCGAAGAAAAAACAGGACGGAGAAGAGGATTCCGCTCGTAAACGTATATCAAATTTTAGTGAATGAAACCCCGAGATTTTTTAAACCCGCGCCTAGTTTACTAGCTGATACAGCGACATACATAGTTTAGGACATCGCTAATTAAAAGCGCCGCAGCGCATACGTCATTTCTGCATATAGAAAAAGTTTCCAATTAATTATATCCTAAATAATGATTTATGCCGATGATCTATGTTTCAAGCTAGAAGAGCCTTAAGAGTCTTCGTAAGGTTTTTATATTTTCAATTAAGTGTTTACACGTTTATTTCTTTCGCAATGTGAATATATCGTCCTAGGCGGAAAAATGTTTCGCAAAAAAAGAAAGTGATTCAACATCGTCAATCCTTTTCTACTTTTTTTTCTTACCACAGTCGAATCGTTCCACGGATTATAAACTTGACAGATATTCGCGATGAACGTGTCACGTATTAAGAGAAATTTCCGTAACATGATATAAATATCTTTCATATCTTATATTTCTTTAGCATAAAAACAAATCAAAGAGATCTAATTACACAAGTATCTTTTAGCTGAGTACCGATCCATGCGTTATCCGCATCATAAATACTGAGTACTCGTTAAAGGCTTCTTACAGTATTTACATAACATCGTAGGCGAGAAATGTGAATAAAAAAATATACAGGATTATTCGTGCCATAAATAATTAAATAATTTCTAAAATTATCCCCGTTAAATGTTTAAAACGCGAATTAAATATGTATATATTGAAGCGAGATAAATAAATGTATACATCGAAAGTTAGTGGCGAGTAACTTCTGTTGAAAAGTATAGCTATATATAAGCAATAACTCAAATGATATCATTTAATTTACAATTTATAGAAAAGTGAAGGTACAACGTAATTTTTATTCACATCTTCGCTGAACAGTTATACTCTTTAATTTTCTTTTATCTCGATTAAAATTCATCGAGCGATATAGGTGGAATTGTCATTTGCGTGTACAATTTATATGTATACTATGTACACAGAGCGTTTTCTTTTTCATGTGGAGTGTGTATCAGTGTGTTTGTGTGTGTGTGTGTGTGTGTAGTCCTAATAAAACGTATAAACACATTATAGGAGAACGCGACCGAATGCGCTCGATCAGAATCGAAAACTTTCAAAGGATTCAATATCGACATCGATATATTTCCTGCTTTCTCAAGCCAATTGTTCGTGCTTCGGTGTTTTTCTTCTCGCAAAATGAAAAACTCTCACTCGAGAGTTCCACGTTTGTCTAATTTAATTACGTGATTGATGGTAAAGTATCACTACGTTAAGTCGTCATTTAGCTACATCCGCCATCTCGACAAAATGGATTTCAATTTCTACGATCAAATTCAAGATTGGGAGCCACATCGAACTGCGAATCAGCGAGATTCAGCAAAATTACGACGGTTATGATCGACGATCGAATTTGAAATCTCTATGATCAGCTACAAAGTTCTTTCATTGAAGCTCTTTTGTGTGTTTCGTGTGTTTGACTAGCGGAATTATACATAGCTCTTTAAAATTAGCTATTAAGATTAGCTGGTCTCGTTTCTCTAGACGATCGTTAACTTTCTTCAATTGCGATTAATCGTCATTGTAATCGTTTTTTTTTTTTGCCCTATAATTAAACTCTAAGATAGAAGTCGAATGTATGCAGACCTTTCTTAGATCTCTTAGTTTTTTTTTTCTCGATCACAAGGAGTATTCAGTTCTGCGTCGATCGTCGATCGCTATTATATATTTCGACATTAAAGATTCGATTGTGGGGCCCAGGAGAAGTCGGTGCAGGGATTTTTAAGGCCCCAGGGCTCATCTTCACTCTCTTTCAAGTGCACTTTCTGTCTTTGGTCTCCTCGTCCCACGCGACTTTCTCGCGCGTCTACTAGTGTTGTTGAGCTGATTCCGCGAATGGAATTTTGTCCTTTGCGTACTCTCTGCGATGGACAAGGACACTGGAAGATTTTATTTCGATTCGACTAGGACTCCTGTTTTATATAGAAAGATCGCTTTCGGTTAAACGATCCTTAAAATACTCTCAATTAAGCATTCGCGATAAATTTTTTTTTTCCTGACAATTGAAAGAAGCGCGTGCAGATATCGAGAGGAAAAGTCCATCTTCTTATACCGCAATAATAATTTGACAAACGACTTGTGTGTCCGAAAGTAGAACTCACGCACATCAAAGAGATGAGTAGAGATGAGTCAAAATGTACATATGAAGAGACTTTCGTTTAGAACAATAATAATTAATGGATTTCAATAATTAGTTTAGTGTATAGAGAATATATCGTAAAGATTGCTCGGATAATTTGTCGTATCGTTTTTCTCGCTATATAATTATATATTCGAAAGTATAAGTCTTGCAATATTTTTTCGCGTGAAAAATGTATACAGAGTCGATTTGATTATGCGAACGAGGAGTGTCGGGTGTACGTCGAGTATATATTTTTTTAAAGGATTATTTCACAACGCGTGTCATATGCTTTCTTCGTGTAAAGTGGCATAAAAGATGTCTCGAGAGAAGATGCCACGTGCATCTCATGATCAGCAGTTATTACGGGTGAGTGATTGACACATTTGGCGTAGTACGTTATGTAATATCGTTATGGGATGTGGACGATTGACATGTAATGTCACCCTCTCTTTCTCTTTCTCTCTGCGTAGTTCAGCAGAGCTCTCAAGCATACACATGTCATCGGACAAGTACATTTCGATGATGCTTGTGCGTGTAAATATAGTTCGGTAATTGGTATATATGGTCAATGATGTAGCGTAACTCTCCAATCTCTCTCGCGGATGACGTCGCTGGAGATCAAATACGCGACATTGAAACTGGGACATTGATTGGTGAGGCGATGTACAAAGGTGAAAATATGTATGTTTCTAGATATCGTGTGTACAAACTGTGGAATTAGTATCACGCTGACGAAATTTTCAGCAAGAACGGTGATTTTTTTATTCGATTGAGAATCTTTGCACGTGCTTTGATCGACGATAAAGCGATGGAGGAGTGAAGGTGTTTTGATAACCACACGTGCACGCTGCTGGTTGCTAATTGCATATCAGAAGAAGAAGAAGACAAAGAAGAAGAAGAAGAAGCAGAAGAAATTGTCAATGCTTTATCCTTTGTTAATTCATTATTAACGAAGTGTAATCATACAATTGAGATAAGATTGTAAGAACTATCTCAATGTCCGGTGGTGCAAAAGAATAATAAAGTCACGGTGAATATTATAGATGCAAAAAGAGTTTCTTCGGAAGAGATAAGGATTCACGTTTCAATCGTGTTACAAAGTTCTCCAACAGTTATCACGTTTTCCAATTAAACAGTAATTAAAGGGATTTTAAACGTCCTCCTGTTTTATCGATAAAACATTATTCTTACGCACCCTTTTCTTTTTATTGGCTGAATAGAATAATAAATACTTTTCCACGATAAAAAGTATATATAGAAATAAAGCGCAAACCTATCGATTTTATGTTAAGAACAAAAAGAATTTTAATTTTTTAAGTTTTAAAAAAACTTTTCTTTTGTTTTTAATATAAAATCGGTAGGTTCACGCTTTGTTTCTATATGTACTTTAATCGTGAAGAATTCATTATTCTGTTCGATAAAAAAAGGGTGCGCAAAAACGATGTTTTATTAATAAAACAGGACAGCGTTCATTCCTTTAAGAGGATGCTGACTAGGTCTGTTTTATCGACAAATATTATTTTTATTTAACTCTTTATTGGCTATACAGAGTGAAAAACCCTTTACTAGAATTAAAATACTCATAATAACAAATCTGAGCTACTACATATGTATATAAAAAAAAGAACAAGAAAGCTAAATAATTACAGCTGTTTATCAGTCTTTTGCATTAGGTCAACCTAATCTAAACGATAAGAAAACTTAATTATTTAACTTTCTTGGGTTTCTTTTATATACACATATAATAACTTGGATTATTATGAATAAATTAATTCTAGTAAAGGATTTTTTATTCCGTCTAGTTAACAAAGAGTTAAATAAAAATAATATTTTCCTATATGGTCGATAAAACAGACCTTAACAGCATGTACTTTCTTTTGCAGCGCGAAATACAAAAAGTTCAAGCGTCTTCCGGGAGATCATATATAGCGTGCACGCTGCTGGCGACTGATGGCGAGGTTTCCCTAGATTGTGAACAGGTACGCGAAGATAAATCGTCGACGGTCAAACGAGATCGATATATGGTACAGCGTCTTTCAAAACTCGGTCGGTGGCGCGTTTACAATTATTCCTATTTTTCTCCCTCCCCCTTTCATCCCCCTTTTTTCCTTAGCGCGACAGAAAACAGCCCCACTAACAGAGCGCAGCGATCTTATCGCGAGGTAGCGCACTTCCTAGCGTCTCGGTAGCGTTTACCGGAAGAAGGCGAGCCCGCTACTATAGGGCGGTGGTGCGCAGATGGGGACAGCGCTGTAGCGACAGGCCCCGGGGCCCCAGCTCCTAAATAGCATTAAGAGCGCGCGAGTCCTGCTGCTGGCGACGTCTCGAGGCACTACCGTAATCGACGCCGTGCTCCTCCTCGCCGTAATCGTGATCCATGCGATCGCCCCGATCGCGATCCATCCGCTCCAGCCGCGATCTTCTTGTCCCGCCGCTGACGTCACCGGCACCGTAACTGGCTCCTGAATGAAATAGAAAAAAATGATTAAAGCGATTTTTTGCGATTTATATGAAATCGGTTTATATCAAAATAATTTAATGCTCAAGCAGTTTCTGATTTTTCTTCAACTTTATGTTTCCAGTCAATTTAATTGTTCGTGATAAAGTCATCGAGAGGAACGAAATTTAAGAACACAGATATATTTTTGAATTGTTCGTATACGTTGCTGTCTAAATAAAATTATATAGATGATCATCTAGATGAAACTTTGGCGTCATATCTTATCTTTATATAGATAATAAAAATATTTATGCATCTTAATTTGGTTTAGAATCATAGCACATAAAAATACTTAAATAATGGAACTTTAATAGTAAGCGATAAAAATTTATAAATAAAAGTATGAATACATATATTTTTATATTCCTTTTATAATTTATATTTTTTATAACTGTATTTATATAAACAGTTTTAAAAATTATTATCTAGAAAATTTTCTAGATGAATCGCCATGTATAATTTTATCCTTTATCTAGATATATTTAAAACAAAATTATCTCCATCTTATCTAAGATGGATTTTTATCTCATCTTTATCTAGCTAATTTTAAAATCATCTAAACACAACAATGATCGTATGATAAAAGAAGAATATATTTTAAAGTTTGAATTCTTTTTGTTTTGGAGTAAAATGGAATTTGTTGTATCGAGAAAGAATTAATTGTACAAATTCCATGTTGCCAAGAAGCTATAATGTCAGATCGTTCAAAACTCTCTATTCTATGAAAAAAAGAACGCCACTCGGGGGTAATTATTAATCATGAGTTGCACTAGGGATCTCAGATCATTCCAGCCAATTCATTCCAACACGCTACCTAATCCATGCAAGCTCTAAGCAAAAAAGAAAGAAAAATAAATTAAGAGACGAGATAAACGTCGCAAAGACTCCGACGTTCGAACTATCAGGTGCGCAGGGGTGCGCAGAAATCGAGAAGTAGAAGAGCAATACTCGTCGCAGCGATTGATGCAACTCGAAACATGAATCCTGCGAGATGACAGGTCGCGACGAGAATAAGGAAACCCTTTATAACTTCTGCCCTCTCGACTCACGCGGCTCACATATCGTTAATTTTCTCTCTCTCTCTATCGTTAGGTAATCTATTCTATGATCCTATTCTACGTCAAGGGTTGGTGAAGGGCTGCGAAACATATTAAAGTAAAACAGGAAGGTGTGACAGAAACAACGGCTGAACTTCTGATTGTGACACATTAGAATATGTTCAATGCGTAATTAAAATAATGGAGAAGAAAATTAGATTATTCTATATTCAATTTTTTAATAATTTTTAATTTTTATTTTAGAATAAAAAATGTAAGATGTATCAAAGTCAAATAAGAAATAAAACGATCTTAATTACGTAATTAGAGATATAAAATAATTCATGCTTTTACAAGATTTGAATTTTATGCATATAAATATAAATTTATTTCAAATTTAAAAAGAAAATAATGAACAATATATATTTAAATGACAATTAGATTGTAACTAGAAGTTCAACCGAAATAAAATTGTAAAAGACATCGGGATAAGGGAGCTGTTATCCTGACAAAAAATGGAATTGAATAACAGTGGCGTAATTGCGCCAATAAATATTTGCAGCAATCAAACAATGTAAAATAGTAAAAAAAATAATCCAATAATCAAAAATAAAAATTTTGAAAATTTTTAAAAGACAGATTACATTTTTTGAACTTGAAAAAAGATTGCGTAGATAAAGTGTCTGGCCGTATTCTTACGATTTTGCGCGTGGAAATAAATTTTCAAGTGAAACAGGTGCGCGAAGGATGAGACTCGTGTAATAAATAATTTTCCAAGTGTTTTTTATATTCCGGAAAGTCCTTGATTGTTCTCTGCATGGCGAACTTACTACCCCACTGCGTACAAAGGGATACATAAAAGTGACGGAGGGAAACGTAAATCATTTTCTCTGCTCGAGAGAGATAGAAATCGGGTCGGTTCCGTGTTTCCGGGCCCATGCACCAAACCCATCTGTACTTACTACGCGCGCCCTCACAAAGGTATCCCTATAACACAGTCTCTAATTCTCTCAATCTCGCATCGACGTCCCGGAATTAAAATTTCACGGGCCGGATGGTGTGTGTGCGTAAAACTCTCTCTCTCTCTTTCTCGGCCAAAAATTGCATCCGAAGGAGGAAGTAGAGAAGCGACCGCACAACAATAGAGGTACGTCCCGCGTATTCGGACCTTCTCTTAACTCGACTCTTTCGTCTTGGTCTCTTGGTCACCACGACCATAGCGCTGCAGGCTCGGTTTTCGGATGATTCCCGTGGCAGCCACCGCCTCCACTTTTACACGTAAACAAAGAGAACATCGGAGTCAGAGCTCGTTGCTGATAATAACATAGGCCTGATAATAAAATCTGCGCACGTCCTCGCAGATTAAACAATTTTCGCAGATTTATTTTTTTTATTTTAATTTTTTTTTTTTTTTTTTTTTTTTGCACATTGATCTTTGTGTTACTGCAACGTAGAGAATTTAGAAATTGATGCTGAATGTATAATTGCGAAGGGAAGATAAAATAAGAGAGAACTTACAAATGGAGTATATAGCTGTATCGTTTGGTTTTCTGCCACGCGCAATATAGCTTTGGCGTTAATCTGGCGTAGCTTAAAAGCACGTGGATTTTGCAACTTCTTTCGAGCATTTTATTTATAGAAAATACGAGGAATGGGTTTTTAAGAATAAGGAATTTTAAGTGCGTAGAATTTAATATTGTGCAAAATTGTAATATTTTCTTTTTTATCATATTAATATATAATAGAATTTATGGGTTTTTTCCAAGTCATAAAATATTCAATTGATAATAAATTATATCACAATGTATACGAAATAAGTTGCAATTAAAAGTGATATTAAGATAAGCATGTATTTAATAATTATTATATTATATTATGAAAAAATAAAAATTTTTGATGACTGTACGAAAAAAGGATTAGGAGAGCGATTGCACAAATAAAAACGAAATTTAGAAGTATTCGCACTAACGGGGAGATCGATAAACGCGCCCGGTCTTACTGCATCGGATACAAGTTCGTATCAATCCGTACGTTCGATCCGTACATTGCCGCTGAAAATAAATATAATGTCAAGATGAGATGATATCAATTCGATGATAAGCGAATACGCGATAAATGCGGAGGAACTGTCAGTCACTTTTTAACAGACAAATGAGATGGAGTACAAAGAAAGTTGGAAGATTACTAGATAGTATCCTATATGCTCGATAGAAATTCGATTCATAAATTAATGCATTAATAAAATACGTAAATTTATAAAATAAAATTATAAATAACATCAAAATTTTTTCACGTGCATATCTATGATTTTATATATAATTATAACCCTCTATGAGGAAAATACGCATCACTAACATATTTAAGTAATATTATAATTAATTTTTTTCCTATGTAATTAAGAAAAATTTATGTTATAAAAAATAATGTGTAACAGAAAAATGTTATATAACTTACTGCAAATTAGAAACATTGATATAACAATTGTGGAAGAAAAGTTGCTATACTCTGTACGTAGAATAGCATGCAACAGTAAGATAAAAGAAATTCCTGAATGAGTAATATTGATACAAGAAAGTAAAGATTACTTTTAGACAAGTAAGTAGATCTTGACAGGATGCATTGCCTAGCTATCTTCAGCAAATTTTTGAAGATAAGACCTCCATTTTTTTTTTATTAAGACGAATCCATGTCATCTGCATGCAATTAGCGAGATCCATTTACTAGATAAAGATATAAACAAGAGGTACAAAGGGATGCGTATGCAGAGATGCATGCTCGAGGAAAATATTGGATTACCTCTTCGTTGATAATAAGGCTCATGAGGGGCACCTGAGAGGACAAGAAGAAAGTATCGAGTGTTAGTGGCGAAATTGAGTCTCGTTAAATTTTTTAGTAGGGCTAGAAGGCACGAGCGAGAATCAGGATAGTGGAAAAGGGATACCACGAGAAGCATTCAAGACGAAAAAAAAATAAACTGTTTATGCTACATTAAATATTACGAGATATTTTGAATAAATAATAAAAAATTATTGACACCTTGAAAGTGATTTTCTCCGAGTAACATAATGAATAATTTTCCCGAGTCAGTATTTCGGTCACCAGCCAGCTCTGTGCATTGCCAAATACGTTCATAGACGAGTCCAATTTCCGGTCGGCAGTGCCAAAGACGTCAATCGACGTATTATAGCGCCGATTTGCGCCATGTGTCACTGCCAAAAGCTTCGGTTTTGCATTGTTTCTCGACAATCTTGGATGGTTTCCACAGAACTATTACCCGAATGACCGAAGTATTGGCTTTCGAGGAAATCTCCGCGCATATATGCTATTTAAAATCCTTATACTGTCTTAAGATCCGTTCGAGAGAATAAAGATAACTAATCGATCTGGAAGGACATCCTGCACCAAATACATAGGGTTTTCGCTTTTGGTGGAATTGGCTGTTTTTTTCATATGTTGTAGCTTATGTCCTGATGAATAAAACAACTCGTAGAGCCCAAATTTTTCGTATTTAACTAGCTATAAATCGGTAAATAGCTATTATTTACTTTTGAACCTATTACGTTTTTTGTTCAGCAGATGATAAGCTACAATATATGAGAAAAACCAGCTGGTTTTATCAAGATTTTATATAATTTTATATAATTAGTATGAAGTTTCTGAACCTATATAAAATCCTAGATGAAATTGAATTGATTGTTGAACAAAAAATGTAATAGACTCGAAGCTAAACAATAGATGGTTATTGATTTACAGCCAGTCAAACACGACAAATTAGGACTTTGCGAGTTGTTTGATTAACTGTAACTCAATAACTATCGAATATTTAGCTTCGAGGCAATTATATCAACCAATTCTACCAAAAGCCAAAACCCTATGTATTCGGTGCAAAATCCTTTCCTGTCATTCTTTTGAGGTGCAAATATTTCGCTGTGGCTTTCATAATTTAAATTAATTACGAATCGTATACTGAAATTGTATTTAATTGAGATATTTTGAAAAAAAAATCTGATCTAATCTCTCATGAAAAAATTGTGATACCTGATGGCACGCGTTGCGAATATGTGTCTGTCGGTGCATCAGGTGCAGGCACGGCGCGTGGCACCGAGGTAAAATCCGGCGGATGCGTCGCCCTCCAATATGCTTCCAGATACTCGGCCACGTGTTCGCACGCCTCCTCCAATTGATTTTCATCTAGGATGACGTCGAACATCTCTGGCGGACATTGCGCCAGTTTTTCCGCGGCCACCATCTGCACATTGAGGTGACGTATCTGCGACTTCCCTCGGGTCTTAATCAGCCTCTGCAGAACTTTCGGCGAAGAGATCTTCAAGTAGACAATCGTGGGCGCCAGGCTGGTCTTCGCCAACTGCGATGGGTGATTTATGGTATCGCAGTCCAAAACGACTAACTGGAATTGCATGCAAAATCGATAAATTTATTCGAAACGGATTCATTTGATTATTATTGTAATACGTAAGTATGTTGAATTATTTCTGACAATTTTTTTACCTGCAGAGTTCTAGCCAGTTCGAAGATCCTCTCGATCTCTTGCTGAACTTCCGCTAAACAGCTGCTCCTGCTGGTCGATCGTTCCATGATTGCTCGTTTAGTTGGATTGTTCAGCAAGGATCTTTTCGCTAACGAAATATCTGCCATTACCCTCGTAATAATAATTCTGTAAAAAGAAGAAGAATTAGCTCGCTAGAACTGATAGCTGTTCATAATTTTTTCTTGCAATGAATACGAGAAGGAGAATTAATAAGGCTGAAGAATCGAGACAGACCTGCCTTCGAAGCGATGTTTGAGGAAATCGAAGAGTGCCTTCTGCATCATATCTGTCACTTGGTAACCCTTGAGCGACGGCCCGACCAGTACCACGGGCCTCATGGATGGTACCACGTCGTAGGGGGTCGTCGTTTCCTGAAAGTTCGAACAAACGATCAGTCCGGACCAATCGAGACGAGCCCCATTCGCCAATATCGGCCCCAGGATAGTCTCACTTACGTAGGACTGCGTGTGAGCACGGTATGCAACATTGAAACATTGAAATCAGTTAATGGTCATGTCGATTTGACACATGCGACCTCCTGCACGGCCAAAGTCCTTCCTTGAATGCCCGCCTACGGGGATATCCTCTTCGAGCACCGAAGGTGTACTTTGGCCAAGCAGTATGTTAGTAACTACTATATCGAAACTAAGGTTATTAACGGCCTCCTAATCGCATTGGCTAAATTCTACCCTACGGCGGTGAACAATTTTCATCACGTGATGCGCGCCTCCGGATAGAGATGATCGTTGGACGCTGTATGTGCGTGGTGAAAAAAATTTATTAACCCTCTCTTAAACGGAATCACATCAATCTTAAATATAGTACCGCGACTAAGAAAATTTTACCAAAAAGAATTAGTGATAATGCCGAATTTTTCAGTAAAATCTTTCTTATATCGCAGCAAAACAAAACGGAAGAGAAAATATAAATTGTGAATATTTTCACTGAGAAGAAAATAATCACTATTTTTCGATAAAACTTTTTTACTGCTTTAAGTGATATTTTCACTAATTCAGTTTAAGAGAGTACAGTGTTAAATGCATATGACAGAGTATTTACCAGTCGTTCTCAAATTGTCTGCATTAAAAGTTATGTGTATCGACACAATATGTGCTGTGAAGGAAAAGTATATGCGTGTTTCAAATTATATTCCGAAATTCTAAAATAATTTAATGTATAATAAAACTTTATATACCAAGTGATTCAGATTTAATACTATAAAAAGATTAATCGCGCTGAAAACGCATGAACGATATTTTTAGAACTGAGTGTATGATTTTAAAATATGATATTGTAAACATATGCTTATAGATACATACATAGAATTATGCATTTATATTTAGAAGAGCCGTGATATTTTTTGCCGTCGACTGGTAAATTTATTATCTTATTCTTAAGAAAATATCTTCCACATATGAAAAGTAATGTTTAATCATTAATCGAATCCTTAGCACTAACTTCAAATCTATCAGCACCAGTGAAAAATATTATCTCTAATATGACAATTTTCACTAAAAAAACTAACAATGTTATAAAGCAAATACTAGAGACAGAACATTTTGACGTGGACAGAGTAGCAAAATCGAGCAATAAGAAATATTAGCTAGGATTATTTGTACGCTTAACTAATGTGAGAGATCTGATGCATCGTGCGTGTCCATCAAGTGCAGCTGTTCTTCATTGTGTAAAAAAGAAGTGTTAAAAATAAAAAGAATTAAATAAAATATTCTAAAGCAATAATCAATGTCGGAGCGAACAAATAATCTAAGGTCGTCGAACTTTCAGATTTTCTAAACATCATTGATATAAAAAAAAAAAAAAAAGATCCATTATTACGCATGATGCATCGTTGAACACACCACGTCAGTGTATGCATACAGCATTTAAGCTAAGTGTCAAAAGCTCAAGAAGCGGCAAGATGTGCATGTGGTGCGTTATAGACAAGATCTCGACAGTGTCTGATCCGCCGAATGTTTACCGGCTTCTTGAAGAAGTTCTTCCGCTTCTCCTTAGCGGGTGGGGTCGTCAGGGTCGCCTTGCCGGGTCGTACGTTCCCGACGCTGTCGCTGTCGTCACCTGTTGAAAGAATACGATTCACGGTCAGTCGAAATCTCATTTGGTTCCCGTGCGAACGACGAGTCCCTCTTTCTCTCAAAAAGAAGCTATCAAGAAGCATTCAAATTGATTGTGATGCAGCCTATATAAATTCGCTAATTTGCTCTGTGTTTCTGCTTATAGCAGCAGCGCTATCAAAGATCAGCGGCTAGCTACAGCAGGTACTAATAAGAATCGCAGGTGTGCTGACACATGAGTGGCACGAATACAGTGACTTACCTTGATGATTTTAGCGAAACGTAATGAAAGCTAACTAGGGCGTGTATATAATGAAGAGGAAAGCAGTGAGAGCAATCTCTTCCGCGAGAGAGCAGAAATAAAGAAGCTCGCATCTCCGCGTAGACCGCAAGGAAGGAAAAGGGATGTTATTTAACATCGAGATTTGACGAATTACAGCATATTAAAGAAATTCTTCAGGTTTAACATCCCAAATAGAGCAGAGAAATCAAAATGACGTCAATTTGACGTCAGTTTGACTTCTCTGTTCTACTTGGGACTCGTTTGCGGTCTACGCAGGAATTGCTTCGATCTAAAAATGTTTCAGGGCGATATAAGCGCTGAAAGCTGGTGTTTGTGTATTTGAAATAGTAGGGATACTTAGAATTTTTCAAGCAAACGTTATTCGTCACGTTTTTTTTTACGACCGGCCTGTAGGCAATAATCCGTCCGCCTGTAATACCCTGTCGAGGATCAAAGCTGAGAAAGTCTTCCCGATCAGGTATATATCGAATTGAGTACACATTTCGTGAATTTTTTTTTTTTTTTTTGGGCGGGGAAAGAAAGAAGGACGTGCTAGGATACCTGGCGTAGGTGGTGTGGAACCACGTGAGGGCATACCACTCTCGCCAAGGTTCCCTGAAGACCCTCCTCGCGTCGAGTACAGGCCTTTCGTGCCACGCGCGGCGCTCGCCTGTAACCTTAAGGCCTCCAGCTTCACCGGCGACGGGATGAAACCCACGTCGCAGTTCTCTTTCACGAGCCTGCCAATCCACCAGTTGTTGTCGTACTTCTCCTGAAAGAAGGCGCAGTTTGTGAGCCAAGAAACTTTACGACGGTGTAAAGCTGGGAAAGCACCAGCAAGTTTCTACCTTGATGTGAAGAAAGTCACGGACGTCAAAGCTGACGGCGGAGCCGTGGACGGGTGAATCATCGTCGACGGATCCATCATAGCTGACGTTGGTCCGCACTGCAAACGCTACCGGCTTCGACTGAAATGAAATTGCGTCAAGGTTCCATAAATGCGTTCCACGTCATATATTTGTTGTAATATCTCGATTTATTAATCAACAAAAAAACCTACAATAAGACAGTATATTTTGTTTAGCGTTATTTTTGAAAACATTTGTTTTATAACACTAAATAAAAAAATATTTTTTATTAAATTAATTAAAATAATTAATAATTTAAAGAATAATTTTCTTATTATTTTTAATCATATGAAATGTGTCTTATAGATTTTTGGACGCTGGAAACCAATTTTCACTAACACGTCAGGTTTCCGAAATAATTGAGATTTAATATGCAGGAAATGACTTTTATGCGATCTCTTATATTAGAATAATTTTTCTCATTTCGATATGTTACTTTTTAATCATGTTAAGGAGAATTTAAGTACAGAGTTTTGCTGAGATAACAGATATTTCGCCTATAATAATAAAGTCATAATTAGTTGATAAAGTCATATAATTATAATCAAACTTGTAATGTGTAGTTTACAACTATAGATACACAAGTGTAACTTATCCTTGATAAATTCCACTAAATTTACATATAATAGAATGTCTTACTTTAATTGCCCACTTTGAATTTTTGAAACAAATGCATTTTCAAAAAATTTCCAGACAAAACTTATATGCCAAAATAAATATTGAAAAATATTTCTCCAAGAAAATCTTTTCCTCAGATCATCTCCATATGAGAAGTAGTTTCTAGTTTTCACCACGTGGCTAAGAAATAAGATATTAAAATGTTTAAAAATGCATTTTGTGCAGGGAATAAACAATACATTGATGATACATAAAACATTTCTGATTGAAAATAATTTTAAATAATAAACTGCCGTAATTCTAGCTTTGTTGTAAACTGAAGAAAGCTCGGACTGTGATTATCAAGCTGGATGGCAAATAACGCGGTGTCGTCGCGTACCACCGCGTTAGTTACGTATCATCGTCCCTTTCCCGTGTTATCGACTTTTCTATCGGGTCACACAATGCACCTTCTATGTCGCGATGTGTGTACACAAACACACGGAGTCAGTTATATCGCTCGGTATGGAGTGGAAAATAAAAGCGATCCCCGACCACGTCGTCGCGTCGCGTCGGCGAGCTTCACGGCCGATCGACATATTGTCAGCTTATGCGTGGACGCATTGCCAGTGACAACGCCGCCGTCATCTCTTCAATAAAGAATAAAAGACTATTACGATGCGATGCGCGAAGAGAGCTTTTCATTTTTATTGCGACGAACTATCCCTCGAAGGTCGTCTCCCGCCAATCAATATCCGTTCACTGCACGAGCCGGAGAAGACTGAGTCGATCGGATCCTTCGTATTTGACATCACTATATTTTCTAAATGCTATAGGTACTTGCATGTGCCATTTGATTCTGATGCGCAACCTTCCAGTTTTCCTTGTCTCAATATTTGCAAATTAAAGCGTATAGAATTAATTAAAAATTGCATTTTATTTTACTTTGTATAATTAAATCTTGATTAAAAGAATATTTTTAACAAGATAATATTCATGATTATTCTATATTATTCATTTTTATATTTGCTTCTGTGAAAATTTATACAAGTATAAATTATAAAATAAATTTAAAAATTTCAGAATTTTACTTCGAAGAATATAAAGTAGAAGTATTTCGACATATATTTTCCACGTATGTTTTCTCATAAAACATTCTCGATCGATGTTATTGCCGCATCTATACTATATAAGACTGTAGCACTCGCATGATGACTGTCGGATCGCGGATCTCATATTTTTCCATAAATTTTTCTTCATGATTCGGAGTAAAAGCGTGAAGAGAAGTTCCGCGAAACCATCTGATCTTGTCTTCGCCGAGTTGCGTTTTATTTCCCATTTTCTCATTTCCTGACATTGCGTCGCATCCGACTTCAGTTATCTTTCTCGATGCAGATTCTCGATGTTTACGAACGCCGCGATGAATAAATCGATACGACGGATGATAAGATACGCGCGTTTTCGATCGATACGCGATGATCCAGCGCGCGAGAATTTTCAGAGAGAAGAAGAAAGGGAGATAAAACGCGGCGCGTGGCTGTAAACGAACGAGGCGAACTGGAGCAAACGGAGGATCAATGACTTACTCTGGCTTTTTCGAGCTGATTGAGGGCCTGCCTCTCCTTCTCGCGTCGTATGGTTTCCTTCTCCTCGTCCAGCGAGAGATCCGAGCTCGGCTGCGAGTAGTTCGAGTCCGCCGAGCCCTAAAATCAGACAAGGTTTTCATGAGATCTCCGTGTAATCTCGCAGACAACTAAATCAGTTTTACGAAGCGTGGAAAAATTTACTGACGTTTAAGTATTAATTTAATTGGTTTTTCCTATTTTTTTTACATTTATGATAAATGAATCGTTTTTAGCAATAATATAATATTTATAAATATTTTAAAAATATTGTTTTAATATTTCTCCGCAATATTTCTTATCAATAATCTTTCAACATGCAATTTTGAATTTTTGGTCGAGATTTAAATAATGTGCATGAAAACTTTATTTACATTTAAATAATAATTAAATAACTCTTTTTCTATTTTACATTTATGGCGAATTAATAATTTTTAGCAATAGTGTGATATTTATAAATATTGTTTTAATATCTCTCCGCAATATTTCTTATCAATCATTTCTCAACATGCAAGTTTGAATTTTTCTGGCCGAGACTTAAATTACGTGCATGGAAAAATTTACTTACATTCAAGTATTAATTAAGTAACTCTTTTTCTATTTTATATTTATTAAATTAATAATTTTTAACAATAATATTTATATGATATTTATAAATATTGTTTTAATCTTAGCAATATTTCTTATCAATATTTATTTCAACATGCAATATTGATTTTTTTGGTCGAAACTTAAGTAATGTGCAAGGAATGCTATGCAAGGAACGTTGCAAGTTTTACATAAAATATTGTAAATACATTTCTCGCACATATTTTATCGCAATATCTTGTAAATTCGCATTCTTGAGATTGTAAGAAAAATACGTTAACATTAAAACGTCGCCTACAAATATTTTCTATATAAATATTGAAAGTAAAGTTTAATTCCTTGAATTTCTGTATATTTAAGCAACATGTATATTTATTCTGTGTAACCATGTAACGCTAACTGTGACTTTGTCTGCGAGACCGTGAATGATAAAGTGCCCTACGACGCAGTTCATTATGTCTATCACGCCCTACAAGCATTGACGTAGATTACCTTGTAACAAAGGAAAGCAGTCTAGCAAGCGTTAATTAGTTCCTGTTAAAATTAAATGAATCGATCGAGTACAGGAAAGAAGACCTACGCACAACTACTCGGTATTCGATGTTGTAAACAAGAAATTGAAGCCAGCATAAATTTTGATCAATGTAATAATGGGGCATTGACCCGCGAACTTGAAACGTTAGCGATTTTATTAATATATTATTGTGATAGAGATTAATGTGAGATTTTGTGAAGACACTTTGTATAAAATATTCAAATGTCAAACTTACTTATATTTATTACAAATTTTTATATTGGATAAGAATTCTATTATAGTTATAAATATTACTTGGAGAAGCATCTTTCCATATGTATATCAGATGTTTATTTATCTCGGCTTTCCGTGATAAAAATTAATTATATACTTCATTTAACGCAGTTGTTGGTGCATATTTTCTAAATTAATCTCTTTTATATAAAGTTATATTTACCTTAGTAAATATACCTATTGTTTAGAATAAAAATAATAATAAATAAATATTTTTGTTTAATAGAAGTTTTATCCTACTTAATAAAATAAAATTTTGTATGTAAGAAAAAATCTCATTTAAAAATAGATGAAGATAAGCTTCTATTTTTCAGATTCAATTAAATTAATTTAAAATTACAATGAAAACTCTCATGTTAATAGCATTATTATATATTTAAAATTAAAAATCTTATTTACATATATCTTATTATATTTCAATATATTAAATGTTCAATCGTGCCACGATTGGTTTGCGTTAATAAAGAACTATGAAGTCGTCGATACTATTTTCGATATATCATTGGTATCGTCCTCTCTTTAGAAAAGTTTGTTGAAGAACAAATTATCTTACGAACAAGTAACCTTTTACTTATCATGTTAGCCATGTCTTTATAAATATTTTATTACATGTTCTTTATAAATATGCCTACAATATATCCAACAATTTTCATGATAAAAATAAGAGAAAAAATATAATAGATTGAGTCAAGAAATGTACAATAATATTCTAAAAAGACGTCACTTAGAAAACGTTCTTTAAAAAATATTATTGCTTCTACGTCATTTTTCTGAAAGTCTCCTATTATTATCCTGTAAATTGCAAAGTAATAATAAAGATAGATACGTATATACATTTATATATTTAGAAAGCATTCATATGTAATACATATATTGTATATTTCTGATTTAACATTTTGAAATCATCAATAATACTTAACCACTTGACATTTTATATTATATTTTAATAACTTTTCATATTGCTACATTTTTATTTAAATTAAAATAGTTATCAGAAGAGTTCGTGATTATTGGCATTTGTCATTTTCACGAAAAAAAGCGTCAATAATATCTATTCACAAGATTTGAGATGGACAATAAAATAAATATAACGATTCAAAAAGCAATCAAAACAATCATATTGAATATACAAATTGCAATTGTTTATGTAGTCATTATAATAATATATGTATAAAAAAATTAATAGTTACTGTTAGAAAATTCAATCATCAAAATTTCAATTTATTCAAGATTAAACTGACAAATGTAAAATTCTATTATAATTATATATAAAATTATATATAAAATAATTATAAAATTATACAAAAATTATTTCTTGTAAAAAATATGTGTGATATTTTTCTTACTATATAAATATCGATAAAATAAATTGTAAATTATAAATTGAAATAATGTCGATCTATAGAGTTCAATGCTGAAGCAGCTTTACACGGAATTTCAGTATATCGATGTCTCGCAAGACGTGAGAAAAGTGAGAAAAGTACATCAAGGACAAAATTGCAATTTCAAGATCAATAGAGCATGTCGTCCAAGCACGAGGCTCGATTTCATGCTAAAAGAAAAGTGAACTTCGATCGAGCGCGCGATTGGCGTAAATCATTGCTGCAATGATGGCATGGATGATCGCGCCTGCTTTACGCCACGTTGCCTAATACGGACCTTAAACGACACGCCGTAGAAAATCCTACACGTCTACGAAGCGACGCGTCTTTGACGTGCGATCGAACGCTTTTCCTTGCGCCTCTTTGCTCAAAGTGCGGTCACGATATAATCAGTTATTTTTATATCGAGACCTCTCTCTCTCTCTCTCACGTAGACGTAGACTCCCTTGACTCAGGTTTAATTACAGTTATTTTTTGACTGGAGAAAATAAAGACGAGCAATGCTGTAAACATATTTTTGTTTATTACAGCCTTGCAGATGGGGGAAAAAAAAGAGCCAAGAGCGAAAAGGAGAGAAAAATCAAGCAAAAATTATATCGAACTTGATCTGTCTGTCTGTCTGTCTGACCGCAAACTTCATTAATGGACCGATTTTCTTAAAATTGGTACCAAAATGTTACAAATTTTTCGGAAAAGATTACTATGTGTATATTTTTATTTTTTGTTTAATTTTAGAGGAAGCTCTGTTTTCGTGAAAAAAATCTTTTCAGATTTCTAATGTGTTCAGAATGTTCCAAAACATGTATTATATGTATGTGCCCATTCACATTTTTTATATTTAAATATCTCAAGAACTATTTAACTTGTAACACTCCAAATTGGCATACAAATAAAGTAGTACAACATTTTTATAAAAATTCATACAGTGTTTTGAATTTTAATGCAATTTTAATTATTCTCTCAATTAATGTTTGTGATTTCTCTAATAACTTTCGTAAATTTTAAGATTGGGATAAATTTCTTTTATATGAATAAACTATCATTTAAGGATGTTTGGTACTAAATTTAACGAGAATTGATGAAAGAATTCATTTTTTTTAATTGTAAATTTTTAAAAAATATACTTTTTTAATTTTCGTAAATTTTGAAATATCAAGCTATGCTTTACCTCAAAAAATAAGAAAAACTTTGGTAATAATGTCACAAAAATCGGTTTATATGGTAAATGTGGAAGTAAATCGCGGTCAGGCAGACAGAAAAAAGAAGGAAATTATAAATAGATAGCTTTTAAGCTCGCGCAAAAAAAATATACAATTTCGTCGAGTAAATGGAAATTAAGGAAATTCGTGTTCCTCCCAAAATACCTGGGTGAATAGCTTGTTGTAGCCGGAATTGTGTTGATTGTACCCGATCATCGCCGGGAATCACCACCATGGATGCCAGGGCTGTTGTTCAGGATGGTGTTTAATCTGCCTTCGCCCAATTCCGGGGGAAAAGCGCCGAAATTGATCGGGCTAATCGAGACTCTAAAGCGCTCCTCGTTTAGTCCATGCTACCGCATGACTATTTTCACTCTCGTTAAAATGCTTTGGGTCTCTATATATTCGAGCTTGTGCCGCTACGCCATCCTGAATGGCGCAGTGGCACAGGGTTTCGGAGACCTCGTTTCCTCAGACACGTCGTATCTCGAGCTTTTTTCGCTTTCGTTTGCAAGCCATCCAAACGCGAAATCTCGATCTATTCCTGAGCAATCATTGTCACCCCACGATGACAGGATGACGCGGCGCGTTTCGCGTTCATAGCGAATAATTTGTTTAATAATAGCTCTCTTTCTCTGTCTCTAAGATACAGTGAAACTTCGATTCGGCTCGACTGCAAAAAATATGTCGTTGAAAATAATAATAGACCAAAAAAGATGAGAATAAATCACATTGGACGAACGCAGTAATTTGTTGACTTTATTGCGTACACAGAGGGAATTTTCTTTTAGAATTTACCCTGAAATCATGTTAATTGTGGGACAATACGGTATTGGAAGAATTTTATACGAATTTCTTTGATTAATATTTACCACAATAAAAATATTAATATAATAAAATATTAATAAAAAGATATTAATAAAAATATAATAAATATTAATATATACGTATTAAATTTTACTATGTGTATAGTAAAATTAATCGAACATATTTTATATCTTATTGTAGTAGATATTAATATTTTTAGTGTAGTAAATATTAATTAGAGAAACTTTTATAAAATTCTTGCAATACCATATTGTTCCACGATTACCATGATTTTTAGTGTAAATTCTAAGAAAAAATTCTCTTAGTGTATTACAAGTTTAGCATAATATTGTTTTTATGAATTAAATATAATTAGGCTATCGTAATAACGATTGTACACTTCATAAAATTAAGATACAAATGAAAATAGAAAAATGAAAAGAAATTAAACGATTTTCTAAATCTATCCGTTCCATAATTGACCTGACCAAGTTTGCTTGCGAAGGAACGTGAAGAGATTACGTGAAGAAGTTAATGCCACTCCCTAAAATTGTCTGCCCCACATTGCCGAAAATGTACATGCAAGCACGAAGCATCAATAAATTATGCCACAACGAGATAAAAGATGGAAGATAAAAATATCTTGTACGTCAACGTTGGTAATAATGAATAATGGATTCTATTTACTTGTTTCTATATGTATTTTTAGAATTGCATAATATAATAATTCTAGAAAATAAAAAGAGAGATGAGTCTGAGGCTTTTCAAATTCAAAGCAACAATTAAAGGCAAATACAAGCCAAATTATAAAGCATTAAAAGAAAATTTATTTACATATTTAAAACCGATCGATCAAAAATTAACATAACAAAGTACGAGGATACAATAAAAATATTATTTAAGACCGATCGATTACAAAATTAATTAACTAACATGAAAAATAAGATACGATAACGCGAATGTTTTGATCTTTCTTTTTGCCCTCTAGTTCTAAAAAATATAGATATTTTAATTCTAATTACTATCCGATAAATTGTAATTATTATTATAGAAGATTGCAACATTCTGCTTCAAAGAGAAAAATAAAAGTCCACTGATTCACGGTAATATCGTCTTTATCAGTATCGAGTGATCTTTATAAGAATCGATAAAACTATTACGTCCATTAAAATAATATCACGTTCACAAACTAGTTTCCGATCGAACAATCATAAAATGCAACAAATTCTCAATCTGCTACTTCCGCTTTGATTCGATTGATGTAAAGTTGAGCTACTTGCACGCGATCTCTGTTTTGCTAATAGCTTGAAATATTCACCGCAATCAAAGTTGATTGAAAATTGTTCATTGATTGCAATTCGATAATTTTACTCGATCATGTGACATGAAAACAACGATCTAATATAAATGTCGCGAATTTTATTGAGCTTTTATGTAACAATTCCGATTAGAAATTATTTTCGCTCTCTTGTAAGATCTGTTTTTCTTACTACAAAACAGAGATTTTTCAAAGACGCTAAAAATAGAAATTTCTAATCAATTAGAATTTTTTAAACATATTTATTAATTTTATATATGTGCTCCACATTGTTTTTTTATGTGTGTGCTATATAATTTAAATTGTAATTCTTTATAAATGTTTAAAAATATTAAAAAATACTTGAATAAACTAATGTTATTTCTTGAAAATATAAGTAAATAAAGCAAAGTCGCTTTTATTCATAGAAATTTATGATTTAACAAATTTATTGTCATTTTATAGAATATGAATCGTCACGTTTAAGAATAATCGCGATAAGAATAGAGATTGATTCTCCTCTTTCCAGTACACGACGTCAATTTATAATTGATTGAAATCCACAATCAATGGTGTACTATTTTATCTGACTCCTACGTCTACAGCTCTAACGACAAAACTTTTCAGTTGATTTTCTCCGTTATTGAAGAGTTCTTGAGTTAGAGAAGATCGGAAGTCACTGTCGATGATGCTACTTATGTAAATCGAGTGTTTACATCCGTCGGATGCAATCTATATTTTTCTAAAACCAATTTATCGGAAAATCTCGATCAATGTCAAAGAAAGATTAATAAAGTTTTTTCACTATAGTTTTCTATATTCAAATTTTACAAAAAGATATTCGTTAGGTAATCGTAAAGATAATCATAAGATAAATTTTCTTTAACAACACATTAAACCAAAAAAATTATAATACAAAACTTTATTATATAATTTAATATGTAAGATTAAAATAAAAATTCTGTTCAAATAAATTTATAATCGAAAAATAAATAAGATGCAATATTTTTACGATATTTAAAATTTTTCTTGATAAAAGTAGAATAAAGTAAAGTAAAGAGCTAGGAATTTAATTCCCGCTGGTAATTTTCCTATAATATTCCAAAGGGAGAGGCTTGCCTCTCATTTACCGAACCTGTTCCGCCTTTGAAAAAAGAAGAGAAAAATGTTGATACGCAGTAAGAATGGAAAAGTAGAAAATGAATTAGGATAGAAGTTGGAGTAGAGTGAAAAAGAATTGCGTGTTGAGTGTCGTCACGCAATTCCCCAATCACCTAATCTATCTAGATAATTAATTAATCCATTTTGCAGGAATAACTTTACAAATAACCTCGTTATTGGCCTCGTTGGTCAATCGAAAGTGCAGTATTTCGAAGAAACGCGAAATCGACTCCTGAATTATCAACTTCATTTCTGGATAATCGATACTGTTGACCCTTTTAGAAATCCGTTACTTCGAATCTCGTTGTCTGAGTCACCGAAATTTCTATATACACTCGAAATTAAAATACAAATAGCAAATTAGAATATGTGAGATTGATCAGAATCCTATAAAGTCGTAAGAAAAAATATCTACAATAAAACGCGAAAGTGAAAGTGTTGTGTAAACATCAGAAAGATTTGTTCTTTGTATCTTAAAAAAATATCGCAAAGCTCACAAAATCATTTTCAATAACACGAGTAGTTTTAAATGTATTAAATGTCTATACCTCGTTTCTGTAAGGTTAAACTTCAGCTACAGAAATAGGGACAAATAACAACCATTTGCCCAACTAACTCTAATATTCCTCTAAATCATTCAAAGATTCCTTTCTCTATGCTTTCAATAACACATCGCAAAATAGATTTTAGGTCAGAATTAATCAGATATTATATGCTAAACTTTTTCCACGTCACACTTTTACAAAGATAATTGAAAAAATAATTCCAAGAATCATTGACAAAGCGGATTAGCCAATATTGGCCACATTCCTATAGGATTAGTTTCACGAATTAAAACTCTTCGTCCTAACCCATGCCAAAGCCGCTAAACCGATGGTATACCGCAGTACCGTGGCGCCCGGAAGGAGGTCAACGACATCGTACAACCTCGAGTACAGTTTCCACGTTCCAGCTCGCTAGTCGATCGACAAATAGCTCCGGCCGGTCTTATCAATTTTTCCTTGCAAACGCCTGCGTTCGTCCTTTATTATTCTCGCCCGTACCTTTTGCCGAACTTTCTTCTTTCCTAAGAAAAACTTCTTTTCCCATGCACCAAATTATTTATATTTTATCTTGGAAATTTCCTTTCTTTTTCCCAACATGAGAGAGCATTTCTTATTCTAGACTTTAGGGATACTCGTATATTTTTTTTCTCCCCACGTGTGTCACATTTTCCTCGACACGATCACTCGAAATTCTCACAGAGTACTTGAAAGATTGATAAATATATAATAACGAGGAGAAGAGAGAAAACAAAATCTATTTTCCAAGAAGAGAAGAGAAGACAGTTCTCCTCGATCACATTGCGATCATCCTGGGGGATGATCGTGACGTTCAGGTAGCGTCCATGCGAGCTCTCTTTCTCCCCCAAACTGCAAACTTTCACCCCTGCGAGTCCGCACGGCAACCGTGAACGGTGCACGGCCCGTAGGAGCGATTTGGCCGGCGATGTCTCTGCGCGCACTGACACGACATGATCCTGGCAAATCACTGGCTGGGTCACCGTTACTCTGGCAATAACGCCGTTTTCCCGACTCGTCCGTACGCGGGCGCCACTGCAATGGTCGGTGGACGACACCCCCGTGACTATATCGATCCGAGAGGTGTTCCGTACCCCTGGCGTCCTCCGCTCCGCCACGTCCTCCTCCGCGAACCACCCGGAGCATGCGACTTGCACGACAACGGCAGGCCACTGCTCCCTGACGGCAACGTGTCCTATCAACCACTCGGTGCGCATGTATATACACTCGGATACACAACCGCCCGATCATGTGGGGTGGGTGAAATTGTCCGAGAGCTATGGGAGTACAATTGCAAGAGACAAGCGAAAGTTGTGCAATATATCTGAGGAAATGTACACTTTCTTATTTTTCCGAAACTTTGTTTGCTGATAAATTGACTTTGTTTAAAATTTCTCCCTAGCTCTGACTGAAATTAATTACATTTTTTTAGACACGTAGGTAATTATAAAAATTATAATAGGGTGAAAAAATAATGATCCACCTTTATTTACGATGTAATGAATATCCTATATCTCATATATATGTCATAAACGTGGAGATAAAATTGCAAATGAGAAAGATATCATATTTTTATTTTTAAAAATGAATCTAAAACATTTTTTGCATTTGTATTGCTTATTATATTATTATTTGACAGTGAAATATTATTTGATTGTCAACACAATAAATTTCAAAAAGAATTATTTACTATGAAAAACCAAATAATGATCTTTATAATTATTTTAATTTCTATAAAACATTGTTTTTATATTATTTTTATTCAGCTGCGCGATAATTCTACGCCAGATAGATTTGCTGGATGATAATAATAGCTTTGATAAAATATCGATTAAATCGAATTAGCATTGAATAGAATTTAATAATGTTAATATTGTTAGTTGCACAAAGAATTTAGTTATTTTCTGCAATATTAGTTTTATCTTGGAATCCAGGTCACTTATGTAGGTCACGCAGGGTGCGTGCGCGTTTCGCCTTCCTCTCTTTCAATCTGTCACCTTTAGGTTCTGCAGTTTAAATTATATAAATAGTTTCTAAAGAAGGAGTTAAATATTATTTTATGTTTCTTCCTCATCATCCTTTACTAACTTTATTATTCAAAGTTAGCTTTATAGATCTTTGTTGTATCTATAAATTACGATGAATCTAGAAATTTTGAGTTTTACAGATTTGTCGTATTATTAAGGCAAGATAAATTCATATATTAATAAGTCGCTCGAGTATTTTGCAGATGGAAAGAAATAAGGGAGCTCTAAAGTACTCCGTGAATATATAAGGATAACAGCTTCGATCTCAAAATCGCATCTCATAAATAAATAATCGGCGAACTGTACGCCACCTTCTTTCATCGCGGTCACGTGGGGCAAAAATAAAATTTAAGATCATTGTGCTCGCAAAGACGGAATGCGCATGCTCGTGATATATAGTAGGTTGCGGATGATCGAATTGAAACTCGCTTTTATAAGCATATCTATTTTTCAAGCGAATCTATAAAACCTTACGAATAAAATGACGTTTTGTCAGTGGAAATAAAACGAGTATGGAATAAAATAAATTTTAGAAAACATCGATTCGTTTCACATCACATCTGTGTTTTTCTGTTTTATATAAAATCTTTAAATAGATATAATTATTGTTAATTGGCGCAACAATGTAATGAATATTCTCGATATTTTCGAAGATACGAGAAATCTGTCGCAGCCAAGGCATTTGGCAGTTATTATTGCGATTGCGAGGACTTTTAGTGGCCGAAGGACATAGCTATACTATTTCGGTAGAGATTTTCGTCGCGATGGGTCTGTATGAGTGGTTATATTTACACGAATCGTCGCAAAGTTATATTGATTATTTCAATGACAAGCGATAATATTAAGGACATGTTTTATACATGAAGATATATTTTCATTTACCCTTCTTCTCCCGAAAGACTTGTATTGTTCCCGCCTCATTGGTCGCCTTAGGTGTGCCATGTCGAAAAAAAACGGAAGTTGGTGTACGGAAGAGCAAGGATGAATCAAAAATGATGCTGGTTGACACCGAAGAAGAACAAAGGATCAGCTTTCGTCAGCTTCGTGAATCAACTTCCGTCAACTTCCGCCACGAGGTACGTCGAGTTCTTCGAAGCCGCATTTATCACCTTCTACAATCTATTTTTTTCCCCCACAACTTTTGATGCACAGCGAGTAGGTACACGTTTCACGCGGAAAAGAAACAATGAAACTTTAAATACCCTCGATCAAAAATTCAAAGAAACATGCTATCACTTTTTGCAATGATTGAAGGCAATTGTTAGGCGAAGATTTGTTAGAATTGTTTACTGGATCCGACACAAACCTTCTTTGTGAGTATTAATGTGCATAATGCAAAACTGCAATAATATATATTTGCATTTTTTATTATATTTAAACAATTTTTTAAGATCGTCAGACTTTTTTTATTTTGCATTTAATGTTAATTGTGATACTTAAATATATCCTGATTTTTACTACATATATTTTAATTGATAAATTACAGGTTTAATTGTTTTACTGACAATGAATATTAACAAAGTTTTGACAAAGTGGATAATATCGATATAATATTCTGTGTCTTCTGAAAATTTGAGACTGCTGCTTCATACATCGTCCGATCTTTGGATCAATGCCGACAAGTTAGTGTAACAGTCCGTGACGTCTTTAAGAGTATATCAGACGCATAAATCTCTAGCCCTGACCTTGACTCATCAGCATAATTTTTAACTTCGAAGATGAAGTTAAACCAAATAACACAAATTTCACAATTGTCACTGACAATGAGAAATTTTTCGAATTAAATAGTTCGATCAATTTTTTACTGTACAAAATACATAACGCGAGATTAAATTAAATTCAGATAAATATTAATTACATATTTCAAATTACCCATTAAACATTATATTATTATTAATATTATTACAATTATAAATAATAATAATTATTATTATTATATGTAAAATGTATCGTACATCGAAAATTATTTTGCTAAACAAAGCGCTATTAAAAATAAAGAGTTATGATCTCATAATACAAAATTATTTTTCAGCTTCTAATAATTCTCAGAGGAGCCTGATCGTAAAGTGCGATCCAGTAAACAATCTCAAGAAACGTTAACCCTAAGAAACGCGATGATTAATCGCTGCATTTCACACATTTATTGACCTGCTCGATAAATTTTCCTACCGATAAATCGTAAAAAAAACTTCACTTCTTATTAACACCAACTCGATCACTTTGCTATGAAGCTGTGACGATACAAAAGTCACGTGTTCGTATCCCGAGAAGACTCTAAAAGGCTCTGGGAGACTCGCGAGACAACGAACTTAAATCGATGGAGAATCGATTCGTGATTTTCAAGAGAAGTTTTCCCTTCCGAGTTACAGATCCGCTTTATCGATGAATGAGGATTTCTAGAATCAGGTGCGAGACGAGCTCGGTGTGGATGTGCTGGTGATACTGGTGACTCGAGGAGCTTTTGGAACGCACCGCGACCTCCTCCGCTATAAATAAAACGGCGGCCGCCACATCGAAAAGTCTGCCAGCGAGACGGGCAGCGCCGATTCACCGTAAATTTCTTCGCAAAATTCGAGAATCGGAAAATTTTCCGAGTGACAGAAGTTAGTTGGTACAGATCATCCTCGAATGCATTGACATACGCATGCCAAGTGACACCGATCAGCTGATCTCTTTGCTCAGAATTTTTTGCCATTTGTGCAAAATATCGATCTGTAGAAGAATTATAATTTTTACAATTTTTTTTTGTTTTTAATTATAATAAAAAAATATAATTATATAATAAATTATATAAAATATTATTATGTAAATAATTATATAAAAATATAATTATATATAAATACAATCATACGGAGATATTTGCATGAAGAAATAAATTATTTCTTCATGCAAATATCTCCGTATGGTTGTATTTATTTGCAACTATGTGGGCATTAGACTTGTTTCAAGCTTTGCTGATATTCTCAACAAATCTATTTTTAAAAGTTACAACTTATTTCACAGTTTAATAATTATTTTTATTAAAAATATAATTATTATTTTTATTAAAAATATTCTAAAAGTCACATTTTCTTTTGAAATTAATTGTTTCGAAGGCTTCATTGTTCATTAAATTTATATAGATATAGATTTAAAATTTATAAGTTTTAATTAAATTCTATTAATATACATTTTATCTATGTACATATACTAGATGATATTCATTAATAATTAAACTTTTATAGCTTTTTTTAATTTTTCGAAATTGTACTTGATGTATATATGTTTATTTGAAGTATTATCCTAAAGTATTATCTTATATGAATAAATAGAGAAGAAGAACTTTTAGGGTAACAACGAAGGTACTAACAGTTAATAGTGTATGAAATGTAACCCCGAACAGTGAATTCTCATAGTAGGAAAGATGTGAAATCTCCTGTTTTATCGACGAACAGCAATACAATTTTCTCTTGAAACAGCGTTTTATACGGAACTTGCCTGTGGACCATAGATGTCCATACTATGGTTTTATAGCGGTTTAAAATCAATAAATTATATTTACGTCAATCATAACATCTGATGTAATATTTTAAAATGAAAATCCAATTAGTTAAATAATCGAATAATTAATTTAATTGTAAAGTAATATTAAACTTGTAAACTCGAGAACAAAAGTAAAGCTTCATTCAATTATTCCCAAGATATAAAATCTTTGTGAGCGAGTAGCAGAAGGAAGATAAGTTTATTCGCATTTTTAAAAGCAGTCAGGAAAGATTGTGTCATTGTTTATGCATGCAGTTCTACAAAGTCGGCATCAAGCATGGTACACAAAAAGCAGCTTCATCAATATCGTAAAATTCAATACAATTAAAAACTATTTCTCGTTAAAAACTTTCTTGTAAATAATAAGGCATTTCCTCATCGCTTAAACCGCAAACGAACCGTCCAAACTTTTTATTTTTCCTTCTTTCTTTTTCTCAAGAGAGACTTTGGATCCGTTTCAAAGAGACGCTTCTGAAACATTTGAATAATGAATGTTGTCGTTATG